AAACACTCTACCATTGAGCCATATCCCAAGCTTATGAGGATATCATACTATAAGGGAATAAAGCTTATCAAACATACCTGCTCTCCAGGCAGGGATGTTGTTGGGTTTCAGTGGGCTTATCTGGAGCAAAACTATGCCTAAGTTGTTGAATAAGTTGCTTCCTGGTGAAATCTGCTGGACAAGTCTTAGAACTTGTCTTTTTGGGGGTGGAAAAGGCTTTCTCTATTTTATTTTAACTGCTTTTTGAGTTCTAAAAGATAGCACGCAGGCTTTTCTTCATTTCCCCTTGCTGTGTCTTTCTGCATTTCACATACTGGTTCAGCCTAGGGGAGTCTGGTCCTGTAGTTTGCTCTGGAATAGAGTGTGTAGAGAGCCGAACTGATGCTGCAGCTCAGAATCTGGCAGAGGGTTTGTGGGAAGAAATGGGCAATACTTGTGAAGACGCAGTGGCTCATCCTCTGCATCTTGATGCACAGCCTCACAGAGGCATCGAGCCAAGCCTCGAAAACACAAACTCTTCCTAAAATGGAGTTGCATGTTTGTCCTGGAACTCTCACTGGCAGCCACAATGACAGAAATGGATGGAGTGCTGGAAACTATGAACCCTGACAGACTATTTTTATTGTTGTATATTTCATTTGCCCTCCTTCCCTCCTTCTCTCCTTCCCTCTAGTCTTCCCTTGCCCTGCTTCTCCCTCCCTCCCTCTCTCTTCTTACTTCTTGAACTTACTTTGGGTATTCATGAAATGAATTCCCATTAAGCACCTGGGCCAGAAGTTCTCTTGAATACTACCAGAAAGTTGAGTATCACGCTCCCCCACCCAAGGTCTGCCCCCCCTTTAACACATTTGAAGAAACACAGTATTTCTATTCATTGGTGATTATATAAGAAGAAAAAATAAGTAATGAAAAAAATTACAACTTTTCTTTCCATCATTTCATAATATGCCTCTGACCCACTTGCAACCCTGTCTGCTTCAACCTTGGCAGCTATTTCCTGTCTCTGAGATTTTATTTCTGTAACCAGGCTGTGGTGGCGCATACCTTTAATCCCAGCACTTGGGAGGCAGAGACAGGCAGATCTCTGTGAGTTTGAGGCCAGCTTGGTCTACTGATCGAGTTCCAGGACAGACTCCAAAGCAACAGAGACAAAAAGATTTTGTTTCTGTGAATCTTTCAATATAATTTAAATTGTGTACATATAACATAGTATGTTGATGAACTAGATTCAGACCTGGAGGAAATCTGCATTATGGGGGAAGCTTTTGAAGCTAGTGGACACTAGTTGTTCAATGCCTGAGAAACTACATTGACGATTTTCTCCCGAAGAAACAATGGAATCATCCATCGACAGCACATTTCAAGTGAGAAGGATAAAGAGCTAGAGTAGTGGTCTTCAACCCGTGGGTCGCGACCCCTCTGGGGGTCAAGCAACCCTTCCACAGCGGTTCTCTGAGCGCACCAGAAATATCAGCTGTTTACATTCTGATTCATAACAGCAACAGGATTACACTTATGAAGTAGCAACAAAAATTATTTTATAGTTGGTGGGTGACCACAACCTGAGGAACTGTATTAAAGTGTCTCTTGCAGCTTTAGGAAGGTTGAGGACCACTGAGCTAGAGGGAGGGGGGCTGAGGGGACAATGAGCTAGCATCCCCACACACTGTTACTGCTCAGCACTACTGAGAATCAGGTTCCCTGAAGTTCTTTGTCCATCCTGGGTGTTGCATCAAATGGGAGCTGGCCATTTAGAAAGTTCCTAACCATTTCTTTAAACAAAACAAACACCTCTTATTGTCTCTCTGTCATGCTTAGTTCTTTTAAATTTCCTTTTCTCCTCAATATGCTCACTCCTCTCCCATAAATTCCACTCCGTGAATCCATGCTATCCTCAAGTTTGATGAGCGCCTAGTAGCTCTCTTGGCCAATTTTCTTGACTCTGTCAGTGAGCTCCTTCTCTGTGTTATGTGTGCAATTGATTCCTCATCTCCATTTCTGACTCCTCCTCCGATATTCTTGTGTTATCATCTTTAAATCAAGAGAGATGATTGGCCCCTGGGGTGATTCCTTTTTAAGTGGTGGGTCCTGTCAGGTCCCTGTGTTGTCTGCCAGGATGCTGGTTGAATCTTCAGTCTAGCTCAGAAGCCAGAAAACTAGGTAAATGCTTGTGCTTTTTCATGTTCTAGAAGTACTTTGTGTGTGAATTCTTTTCAGGCTTTGTTGGAGTTATTGGTTCCTTGCACTGCTGACTTGCTTCTGACCATGGCACAAAACTTGAGGCGATCCGTGCTTCTGCTCTGTGACTGCAGGGAGAGATTCTGAGTGTCTCTTTTTCTCTCTGGTGAAGTGTGACTTCAGCTGGGGCCTGCTTCCCAGGGCTGGCATCCAGAGGTTCTTCACCCTTGGTTCTCTGGATACTGTGCTTTTCTGGAAAGGAGAGTGCTCAAAAATAGTAAAAGCCACTCTTGGTCATTTCAATTGTCTCGATTAGAAAGCTTTAGCCACAAGAGCTACATAGCTGGTGTCTAGAATAGAGATGGGAGTTTGTTTCAATAAGGTGGAGCTCACTTTCCTGTTCAGTTGTCCTTGTGTTGGGAGCTTTTGTCTCACTAGTCACTCCTTCAGAAGCCATCTGCTCTGTTAAGTTTAGTCAAATCCAGGCCCTGCATCCATGTGTCAGTTATCCAGGGACAATGAGCACTCCATGTTTGCTGAGCTCTTTCCTGAATGTGCTTCTTCCTCCTTTCTGGGAAGCATATGAATGGCCACATTTTGCACTTTTCCATACGTATGTATAGCATATGGCTGTTCTCAAGAAAGTTTATGTCACTGTTAAATTGCATTCTGGTGTGTGACAGATTAGAAACCTATGGTCAGTTTGAATTTTTGCTACTTTTAAAACAATATGTTTTATTTTCTCAAACATTTTCCAGTTTTGTTTTTTCTTATTCTTTAGAATAAAAAAAATTATAATGGCACATGTTAGGTTTTATTCTTTTCACTTTTTGGTCTGGGTTTTAAAAAAATCTCTTCTCACCTGCTTCTCTGGTTTTTCTTTAGCCTACCAACATTTTTATTTTGATTAAAACTGTTTTTAATTACCCCTGGAAGCTGTTACAGGAAGGTGATACCTTCTGGTTTTATTACTCATAGTTTCCCTCGTTATTTTCTCCCATTTTGTCCTTTGCTCTTAGGTTTTAGGATTGAGATGGGTCCTAACAAATGTTCATGCTAAATTTCTGGTAGAAATTTTAATCTCCAATATAAAGCAAAATGTTTTTAAAGTTTGAATTTTTTTTTCTCAATTTCCCCATTTTTAGAGGCGTCTGAGCCCCAGAGAGAGTCAGAGTTGGAAGCAGGCTTAGCTGGGATGTCTTTAAGTATCTGGTCTTAGTCAACAGCAGCCAGGCTCCATGATGCAATCTCTCTGTTCCTTGGCAGAGAGGCTATTCCCTGAATGTGAATGACTAGCAGCAGCTCCCATGTCAACATCTTATTTTTTGATGACTGTCCAGTATCATTTCTAATGCTATGAATGTAGCTCACAAATCTGTTGATCACCTCCAGACACATAGAGACCGCCAACAGATTTCTTTCTGTGTGTTGGACATTGCCAGTACAGTAGAGACTACTCTCAATTAAATCTCTGTAGTCTATGCTATTGAAATTTTTGGATACTTGGTACTTGGATAACCAATACTTTCGTCTATTTTTTAAGGTTGAATTAGAAATTAAAAAAAATTGAGCCACTTTTACAAACATCATGAGAAGTATACAACTTGCCAAGTACTGGGATTTGGGGGTATTCAAATGTTCTAAGGCTCCAGATTCAAGGGCAAACTTTGTCAAGAAGTCCACCTATTCTGTCTTGCTAAATGCAACTTTGTGGATGCTTTGAAATCAGGAAGGTGAGACTGATTGCATAAATGCACATATAATGGAGATGTGGCAGTGATCATAAGTGTTCTGCCAAGTCTATGTATCTGTGAGGATCAGGACCTGTGATTAACAATAGTGACAGTAATTATATCAATAGCATCTTACAGAATTACTAAGAGTTTCATGGTCTATCTATTATGGCATTTGATTTTTATATCGACTTCTGAACTTTGTTGCATGGTGTTTTTATTTGTTTATTTGTTTGTTTTTATAATCCCCAGGGAAGCTACCTAGCTTACCTGCTATGCACAGATGATATTTTGTGAGGCACAATCAAATCCAAATTTGACTTCCAGGTCTGTCCTATTTTCTATGAGTACCATTGGCTACCAAACATGCCGAAGAGGTACTTGTCCTCCGTAACCCTGATTATCATGCTTTGATCTCCTGCAGACATTATATTGCCACTCACACATTGTCCTTCTCTGTTCCAATGATTTCTATGTAAGGAAACCGTACCTCTTCATTTCTCTTGAATGATCTAGAATCCTCAGTTTACCACCCATCTACATTTTGGACAACTGTGTTATTACTCTTCTTATGGCCATTATTCCTGTCTACTGACATAATTTACTTGCATATAAGCTTTCCATAGCCTTCTGTGGCTATGGTGGTACCCTATACCTTCCCCTAAATCTTGAAACATCTGTAGGCTGCAGGGCTATGGTTCTCTCTAGCCACTGCTGAACAAAGTGCCTTTGGTAGGGAAAGTCCCAGGTATGTCTGCTGGTGTTTGGTAATAGTCAGTCTTTCCCACATCCAATTAGAGACTAAAGGACATATCTGAGAAAAAGAAAATTATCAGAAATTTAGACCCTTCATCACAATAAGTGATTACTCCAAAATGTTGGGTATGGTGAGGGTCCAGCTAGAGAACATTTCTGTTCTTGTTTTATTCTTTTATAAATTACTACTTTAGCACTGACTGTAACCTTTTTTCTTTAAGATACATTGAAGAAAAAAAAGTGTTTAAAACTATAAAGAGATGCCTCCTCACAGTTTTAGAACCGTTCTTTGATTCCTTTATTCTCATGAAGTCATCTTGTTGTCCCCTGTAGGTTACGGTCTTTGGTCAAGCAGTTAGAGCGAGGGGAGGCCTCTGTGGTCGATCTTAAGAAGAACCTGGAATATGCAGCCACAGTGCTTGAGTCTGTATACATCGATGAAACAAGGTAAGTTAGAAAAGAGATTAAGAAGGCAATGCTAGATTTTCTGTCCAGCAGTTCGCCCCGCCCCATGGCAGGTCAGGAGTATGGTTCAGATTGCTGACTCTGATACATTAGTTTCTGCAAACCAATGGGAAAGAGCTGGGAGTATTGCTCCCTTCACTATGAAATTATCAATGGAACTTACTGCATGGATGACCAAATGGGGTCAGAGCAGAAAGGGCAATTCTTAAGAGCCTGGAAGGTTTCTTCCAGATGTGTCATCCCACTGTGTCAGTTTAAAATGTGCTGTTTGAATCCATCATCTCTGTCAGCTACTGGAGGTTCCTGCAGTGAGCAGATCCCTGGCATCCCTCCTTCAGCAAGCATTTCCACTTGAGTCATGCCAGTACGAGAGCAACTGCAGGCACTGAGATCAACTTTGAAGGAAAGAAAACAGCTTTCCTTTTGGAAACTGTTGAAATGTTGACCGTAAACGCCTCCAGTCAGACAGGCTCCTCAGTATTTGTGATGTCTCAGTTCACCAAACTCAGTCTGGGTTTTTTTTTTTTTTTAAATAATGCAATGATGCAATTCATTATTCATTTTAGGAATTTGATGCCACAGTTTTTCTCCCTTTACCTAAATGAATATATCTAAACACATGCAACAATAAAAAGCACCTTTACCTTGATGGCCACTTTTACTGCTCATTTCTAATAGGGCTTTAATAGATGGCAATATTTTTTGGCTATATCATAACTACTTTCATTCCTCTCTAGTGTTCTGACTGATTAACTTAGGCAAATCAGAAAAATACTTTCACAGATGGCTTAAGTCATTGGGCTCAAATGAAGAATTACATTGTTTGGGGAAGTTTCCTGGGATTTAGAAGTTAATGTTTCTATTATCTCTTATTAAATTAAAGGGGCATCAATCAGTTGGTATCCCTTAAAAGCATTGCTTCAAAGTGCTTGATTGTTGTGATTTGTGCAGTTTTTCAGTCTTTAGGTATTTCTTCCAATGCTATGACTGGTTGGGTCTTAGCATTTTACACACTTTTATACTTGTGTTTTTGAAGGAAAGGCCAGATCCAATTTAGTCAAAGGAGACATACCAGCTGAACTTATACAGGCCTTGTCAAAAACCCTGCTGCCCCCCACCACCTTTGTGTGTGTGTGTGTGTGTGTGTGTGTGTGTGTGTGTGTGTGTGTGTGTGTGTGTGTCTGTGTGTGTAGTGTGTATGTCCCATTTTTGTACCTACATTTCAAGGAGGATAGAGAGCGGCAGTGGTGTCAGAGAATTCTAGATTGAGATTCAGTCTCTGGTTGTATGTTTTATTTCCAGGAGACTTCTGGATACAGAGGATGAGCTTAGTGACATCCAGTCAGATGCTGTGCCTTCTGAGGTTCGAGATTGGCTGGCCTCCACCTTCACTCGACAGATGGGGATGATGCTAAGGAGAAGTGATGAGAAGCCCAGGTTCAAGAGCATTGTCCATGCAGTGCAAGCTGGGATATTTGTGGAGAGGTAAAGGTGAAATTCATTGTTACTGAAAGGCTGCACCAACCCCAAGAATATCAGTTCCTATGACTCTAAGATCTCCTTTAATGGAGTTTTGATACATTATTATACAAACTCAAATTTATAAGAAGAAACAGGTATTTGAATCTGCCTGATATCAGGACCAGTTTTTCTCTTTGCTAAAAATCCTTACCTTAAGAACATTTAGATTAAGTTCAGCCTGGTTTTTAAAGTCAGAGGTCTTCTGACTTCAAGGTTGCTGACCCAAGGAGGACAGTTTATTTAAGGGCTCCGAGTTCCCAGTGACATAGCTTGCTAGGATTTTGATACTGAATTGGTTTCTATAATAGAAGTATTTCTTCTACTATTCTATTCCCTTTTACACAGTTACACATTTTAGAAATTCCACTATTCTATTCCCTCTTACACAGTTACACATTTAGAAATCCAAAGTTTAGCTGAGACATTTATTTGCTTGCTTATAGAATTTCTGGAGAAGAAGCATCTCCGATGGGTCATCCACAGATCCTTTGTTCATCAAGTATAATACTGTACCCTGCTTCTCATGCTGGCAGAGCCCATCATCATCCCTTTTAGTAATTTAGTGTCCAGTATGGGACCCATAAACTTAATTTAATACTGTCCAGTATTTGAAGTTCCTTTCATTTGTTTTTAATTCATCATTAAGGGCACTAGATTAACTTTGGAATTTAAAGTTCCTTGGGTCCCCAGATGACCCCAGTATTCACCAATTGTCAATATGTGCGCAGATCTGCAGATCTGTGAAGTGCTAATCTTCTGTTGTAAGCTATCACATCTTGTTTTCTCCTCCATCTTTGCCAGAATGTATAGGCGGACGTCGAATATGGTTGGGTTGAGCTATCCACCAGCTGTTATTGATGCATTGAAGGTAAGACTGTTGAAAATGCTTATGAGACATGGAAATGAGTGCAGAGTGTAGTTAAAATTGTTCTTAGAAAAGAATATTTCATTTCTGTACGTTTCTGTTATCCCTACCTTAATCTTCCATTATTGTTTTCCTCTCTGTCCTAATAGTACTACTATGCTCTCAGTCTTTAGCCTCCTAATTTGTTTTCTTCCAAGTTAAACTCTGAGTGGATTTTGGTTTTACACAATAATTTGCCATGATGAGATTCATGTAGCAGTAGCCACAGGAGATGGGTCCATTACAATAAAAGTATTTAAACTTAGGAAGAAACTTGTTGGTTGTAATTATATCAATACTCGGTTGCCCATTCCAATTCCATTTTAAAAGATTAAAAAAAAAAAAAGGACCCAGAAAATTTTAAGAAAAATACAATCAGAGTTAATCTGGGATTAGAGTATGTTAGTGGGTAGGAGAGTGTTTAGAGATGTACCCCAGCAGGTTTGAACTCAGAGTGATAGCTGATGGGCTTGAAAAACCAAGCCTGAGGGGAAGCATCAGTGTGGAAGGCATATGTGTCCTCATCCAACTTGTGCTTCCAACCTGCCTTCGAGGAACTAGGTAATTATCCATTTTCTCATCAGCAAAGTGTAACTAGTCATACCACCTAAAATGTGTTCGATAAATTGCTTAATTTTTTTTAACCGCTCATGATGCCTCTCAAGATTTCTGCTAGATAATAAATGTCTTCAGTTGTATTAAACAGTAAGTGTTCTTATAATACCAGCTACTCAGAGTTTTTAGAGTCTTGAGCTATTTAGTCTCAGGTATGAGCTACGGGAAGACTCCCACATGGCTAGATTAGCAGTTGCATAGGTGATGTGAACTAATGGTGCTCTCTTCCTTCTTTTTCCTGAAGGATGTGGACAAATGGTCCTTCGATGTCTTTTCCCTCAATGATGCCAGTGGAGACCATGCATTGAAGTTCATTTTCTATGAATTACTCACTCGTTATGACCTGATCAGCCGTTTTAAGGTCAGCATCTCATTGAAAGGATAAACTGCCTAAATTTGTGTATCCTTATGTGACTTCTATGTCAAGACCAAGGGAATCCTTTTAAATGGATAGGAAACTACTGTGTGCAACTGTTGACATCATTCTACTGGGGCTGTAGTTTCTTCTTTCTGGAGGTCTCTTTTCTTTACACTCTGACTGGTGGATCTTCCTGGAAGGCAGAGACTGTAGAGATGGCATGGAGACCTATCTTCCTGCTGCAGCTAAGTCTGCCATAGGTGCTGCCCACCAATGGTCATTTCGTCTCATCTACCATGATTGTGTGTACTATTGTCCACTCTTAGCTGAGAGGTAGCAAGGGAGACAGAGTGAGCTAGGCAGCTTCCCCACTCAATGCCTCATCCAGGCAAAACTCCCACTCATGCATGACAGGTCATTGATGCTTCTGATGATTCTTTTTGTTTGCTTTAAATAAAGAGAATGTATCATCTCCACTGTCAGCCCCTCACTGCACAGCCTCTTCAGGTTGGGACAGGTCCTCAAGGGAAACTCTGTCCAGTTGATCTCCTAGACTTCATACATCTGATAGATGTGATATGTCTCTGGAAAATAAAGACTGTTTTACACACAAAAGTTGTCTTTACACACAAAAGAATAAGTCTTTATCACTTTCTTAAGGGCTGTAATGAAGCATTAACTTTTTCCATGATCACAAATAACTTATGGCAGTGTCCTTTACCCTTCATTGTACCTATATCAGAAGTGCTCAAGAAAGTGTGGGTGCTGGAGACACTTTTCCTGGAACAAAGACTGTATGAATATATTTACTTAGCTTCTCACTAGCTCATAGACTGCCAGAGCAGACCCAAATCCCGAGCTCTCTTGATCGTAACTTTGAAAACTAAGAACAAGCTCATTTATGCCCTCTATACAACATTGGCTTACTTACCTGCTTACTTTGGTTTCATGAGAAAGGAACTTGCGAAGTAACCTTGGCTGACCTTAGACTTGCAGTGATCCTCCGCCCTCTTGGCTCCTGAATTCTACCACTAAGGGACACAGTTAAATTTGAAATATCCACTAATGGTTAGAATGTAAGAGGCTTGGTGAGGTTATTATAGTTGGATTTCCTTTTCAAATCTGTTAGTCTCTAGGAATGCAAACCCTTGTCTTCACTCCCAGTTTTGAACTAGGGATTTTAGATCAACTGTGCCAATGATCTCACAACTAGCAACCTAAGTAACTGGAGGGTCCTCTTAATTATATGTAACATTTGCAGATCTTTACTCTGCTATACAGGAGAGCAAGCTGTATATATTACACACATTTGAGCAGAAAAAGCAATCAAGCCAGTTGAAAATACTATTCCAATGAACCGATGGTTTGGAGAAAATATTCATATTTTTACGACTTGAGAAAAATGAACATATCCCATGCAGCGTACTTAATTCACTTGTGAGACAACCATAAAGAACACAAAACTCTTAAGTTAGAAAATGATGGTGATGTAACAGATGTAAGCTGCCACTGGTGTGACTTCCTCAAAGCCACACTCTTTTAAAGGGGCCATTGTATGCATTAGAAGGAGGAAGCTATGTCTTTTTATCACCCAGTGACCTATTACTGGTAAATTGCAGTTTGGAAAGTATTCTCTTGATGGTGAAGTGTTACAAATGATCAAAAATTTCATAAACTGAGGTGATTCCCAGTGCTACTTGTCACTTTCTAGACACAGTTTATGACATTGGTCCTGCATAGCATCTCTCTTCCCTCTTGGGACTGGAGGAAAACAGATAAAATACAAAGAAATACAGAACTTTAGTACTCACAAATAGTGAATGGGGTTGCCTATGTGTACGAAAAAAAGCACTGGTTTACATTTTACACAATGTCTTTGAGATGAATCTGTATAGTTTGGTTGCCTTAATTGTGGAACCAAAACCATCTTGTAAGGCTGACTGTTCTTCAACCAGGGATTTGGGGTTAGACTTTCATGGTATCTGACAGTTTCACCAGGGAATTTTATTAACTGTTAACATTGTTGCTTCCTTAAGTGATCCTCAACAGCCCCCAAAGTGGGCAAAGTGGGGACCTTAATGTTTCTCTTAAGGTAAGTCTGCCCTTTAGTGAGTGACACTTGCTGTGTTCTCTTTCAGATCCCCATTTCTGCCCTTGTGTCATTTGTGGAGGCCCTAGAAGTGGGGTACAGCAAGCACAAAAACCCTTACCATAACCTGATGCATGCCGCTGACGTCACACAGACTGTGCATTACCTCCTCTATAAGACGGGAGTGGCCGTAAGTACAGACAGGGACTCTCAGTCATATTGGGGGGTGCTCCCGGGTGACAAGGAGGAGCCCAGGGGCATGAATGCCTTCTGTACTCCCTGTTTTCCATCATCCTCTGATCACTATGAAGAGCTTCGGGGATGTTTTGATGCACTCTCATGATCATTATGGAGAGTCTTGGGGTTATCTGGAATGCTCCCCTGACCTTTATGGAAAGTGTTCTGAAGTGTTCTCCTGATCCCTATGAAAGGTTTTGGGGTCCCCTGAGAAATCTTCTTCTTCTCCTCCTTCTTTACCCCAATGGAATAGATAATGACCAATTAAAGAATAATTATAAGAAGTAAATATATTTCCACATATAGAATGACTATTTTGACCCTTGGCAACACTCAATTAACCATGATATTCAATTATTCTGAAATTATATTCAGCAGATTCATCAACCATTGCTCCAACTCATGTTTGGCTCAAGCGGCTGGGTCTTTTTCAAAAGCACTCTGGTTATTCACATCTTAGTATTTTTAAAGCTAAAGGTTTCTAGGCATTTGAAATACCCTTATTATAGTCTGCTTTTCAGCTCTTTAGATGGGTTTAGATGTCTTTTCTGTAATCCATTTGACTAATTAGCTTATGCAAGTTGATTGTGCCTCTAACGTCTTAAATTTTCATTGTTATTTATCATATATGGGCATGGGAAGGTCTCATGTGTTACAGTACACATGTTGATGTCAAAGGACTAAAATTAGTGTTAGGATTAGGGTTAGGTTTAGGTTGATGCCATAGGTTTGTAGCAGTCAATTTTCTCCTTTAACCTTGTAGAGGCCAGGGTCAGAACTCAGATTTCTGGTACATCATGAAGCACCTTGATCCACTAAATCATTCTACCATCCCCCTTTCCTTCCATGACCTCCATATAAGCCATCAGTTTTAATATGCATAGATGTTGCTGGCCAAACAAAACAAATAAACAAACTAATAAAATGGCTTTCATTGAGATTAACACCTATAGAAAAAAATTTCATTTCTATTTGAATTTCCTGTATGCTGAATTTATCCCCATGCCATTCATTTTGTTTCTGCAGTTTGCTCTGGGGTACCTCTTTCTTCTGTGAAGCCCCCTCCTATGGCTTAGGAACAGTCTGTGCCTTCTCAGTCAGGGTCATCTTAGTGTGGCATGGGTTAATGTGACCATGGATGCTGTATATTTGGCTCACATCTTGTTGACCTGGATATATTGCACAACTAGGGAATCTGTATCCAAACCTGTAAGCTCAGATGTACTCTCTACACTTTTAAGCACAGACAACAAAACTTGTGCACAGCTTTTGGGTCAGTGACCACAAGTCCACTTGAGTTTGGACTTGAGCAGGGCTTCTGACTCCACTAGTAGGTGATTTGTGAACTATGGACTGGCACCGAGTATTTTTCTATGAATCTCAGGGAATGCAATATTCTATTTTAAAAGAATACTGAGAAAGTTTGGAAATACTAGAATCAAATTTTAGAAAAACTAGCAAACCAATCTCAGGACTGAAATGCACAGCTCCTTTGGGATAACATCTTTCAGATGCTGGTAGCATTTTGCATATGCACACAATGGATGGCCTGTGAAGGTTTCTGTGCAATTTTAAAGTGAAAGCAAAGAATTGAATCTTGTGATTTGCATAATTTTCTGGGTTAAGAGAGTGGCAGTTGGCTTT